ACTTAGAAGCCCCCGAGGTTATTTCTGAGTGTCCCAACTCATCAGCAGCAAAGGGAACTAGGACCAGCAGCCCGCGAGTTCTGAGTTCACACAGCCACCTGACTCCACACTCGGGCAGTTCACCACCAGCTCATTTGAGGGACTGTTGGCCCAGGCCTCTGTGGGCAAACTGTGTTTGCCAACAGATGAAATTTATAGTGCAACTGGATATCCCTGAATGAGAAGCTTAATATTGAAAAGTAAATATGTATTCCCAGAAAAAGTCCATCAAGATGTCACCAGAGTTGAACACTCAATGGAAGCGAGGACGCAGAACACTCCTGTAACCGAATGATTTTACTCTTTCAGAGCTTTCTAGGATTATGGGGACAAAAGTCCCTAAAGTGAAAAGCAAACTGCCCTTCTTGAACACGATGGGTGAATTCTTTTAAGCCATTATTTGAGAATAAAAACCAAGTACTTACTATTTTTAAGATCTGGATTCTTGTTCCATTTTTGTCACCTCCACCCTGCTTTTGTAAATGTATCAGTTAAGATGCATTTGGCTACAAATAACAAAACATGCAACTGAAAAGGCTTAAACAATTACAGTCTTTATTATTTTTCAAAGCATGGAGTCCAGAGTTAGGATTTCCAGAATGATTCAGTTGGCAGCTCCAGGACCTGGGACTTTCTACTCTACCACGGTCATCCTTGTAGACTGCTTTCCTTCATGGCCCTCAGGAGGCTACTACAGTGTCTGTGTCACATGCAGACACTTAGATCCAGAGCTAGGAAGGGAATATCCACCAGTTGTGCCTCTTTTTCAATGCAAAAGAAACTTCCCAAGCAGCTTGTCAGCCCATGTCCACGTAGATACCCAACCACTGGACCAGGCAGATGGATGGTGTCTGCCTAACTGACTTATCCAACCAGGTCGCAATGCCTGGGGCCGAGGGCAGTGGCCAGAGGAAGAGCACAGCCTGTCTTCAAGCATCAGACACTCGGAAGAGGATAAACAAAATTACAGGAAAGGAGGAGAGGTCATGTTTGCAGGCAACCAGAATTATATATCACATTTCCTATTTTCTTTATGGCTCAATTCTCTTATGTCACTGCATAACATCTCGATGAAAGGTCCCCTCGATGATGCCTCCTGCATTACGCAGTTCAAAGATGAAGATGACAATACTACTCCCAAATATTAATGGAAGAACCAACACGATTTAATGCAGCAATAGGATTTTCCCAGAAAACAGAAGATGTAAAAAGGAATTAATACATATCATAACAAACAAAGAGCATCAGTCTTAAAGCCAGGTTTATCACCCATTAATCTGTACATTTCTCTCAGATAAACATGGCAATATCATAAGCTAAGAGAAACCAAAGCTGAGAGAAACATAATGAGCAGCCCACAGTCACATCATTGACACCCCCACCCCAAGAGCTCAGGAGAGGAGCGGAGCTCTGATTTTGTCCAAATCATAAAGTCATGGATGGGAGAAGTCACACCCCTGGCAGCAACTTCCAAAATGCCATGTGCTGCCCACGGCGGGCGCAACAAGGATCTCTGCAGACTTGGGAAGAAAATTCTGGACTTTCTTTTTATACTTCCATAGCATGCTCTTTTAATTTATGTGTATAATATTTCATAGCATACATGACACATTAGCATGGTAGTGCATGCACATAATTGATAGCTGTGTGGAAAGAGAATATGCAGGCTGATAAATTTCTTGTAGGTTGCACAGTTAAAAAGTTTCAAGACTACTGACATAGATCATACTAGCATTTTGATGGCTTCAACTCCACCACAGAACTAGAAGGAAAAAAAATATGTTCAGACACAACTGGAATTGTGGTTGCCCCACAGTGACAAAGCAAGGCAGCACTGACTCAAAGTTTAGAAAACTCAACTGGCAGCAAAACAGACTCCCAGCCAGTGTTTATTTGTTGATCCCTCCAAAGGCCCTTAGTTTTGTTTACCAGAGAGGCTTCTATCATTGTTTTCCTCTGCCTGCACCAGCACCCCTTCAAAGTATCTCCTATTTTAAGAAGTGCTGGGCTCCTATCCGGTGCAACATAAACGTAGCTCACAAGGGCAGTCAGGAAGTCAGAACAGCTCTGTGGGTTCCCACAGTTTGTTTGCTCATTCAGTTAACAAGCGTGCATATACTAAGTGCAGGACAGGAGGCTGCAAAGACATTCCAAGACTGCCAGGGTGTCAGGTCTGAAAGGAGAACTCCCCAGTCAATTGGGGGGTAGGGCATGAGAAAGAGGGTGAAACAGCCGGGGCCCACTCCAGAGGAAGAAGACACAAATAACCCATTAAGGGGACAGTCCTCCGAACTGAATAGGAGTGGGTATCAGGAATTCCCCCCTAGGGAAAAAAATGGCTCTGAACCCTTTACGGAGCCATAGAAGTGACAGTCAGGTCAAGTGCCATATCTCTGCTCGGAAGAAAAACATAACGAAAGGCTGGACTGTTCCCGAGAGGAATGAAAGGAGGGTAGGGGAGAGAAGAGAGCTCTTGCCTCCCTTCCCTTCCGTGTACCTTATCTCTGTATCCTCCAGCTCCACAAGACACTGAAGGTATGGTCTGGGTTGGGCCCTTCACTCGATGGAATGCAGCATTCCCTGCACACATCGAGCTGCCCAGCCCAGTGCACCTAAGGACACCAAAATGCCCAGCTCCTACACCTGCCCATTTGTGAAAGGCAAATTTGTTTCCAGGGTCCTTTGCAGAACAGGAAATCAGATAGCAATGATCCTGATTGATACGGGGTTGAGGCCGTTAGTCAAGAACTGAAGAATTTCATCCTGTTCAATCCCATGTATATATTACTTAGTGACTTCAAAAGGCTTATTCAATGAGTTTAATCATAAAATCTACCATAAACAAATTGTAACCTAACCCTCAGATTCATTCCAATGAGTCTACACTTTTAAGACTGAACTTTCTGCTCCAAAGAGGTTGTGTTCCTTCAACTCTTTTCTTCTTCCAGTTTTTTTCTTCCCAGGACTTAGACTCAAGTCTCAATTCAGAATGTTCCCGGCAGTGTAGAAAAAGTATCTATGTCATGATTCAGCATAAGAGCTCTTGAAGCCACTTTCTTTCCTACTTTCAGAAGAAACAGCAGGATTGCTTAACTGGCCCTTCTTGAAACATGGAAGGGAAGGAATCAGGAATTCAAAGAATAACTTTGTTAGGCGCATAGAAAACCTTTCATTGTAAGAAAAAAGAATATTTCACTGTTGAAACAGGAAATCTATTAAAGCACTATAGTGCTTTGTCCTTGTTAGTTAAATCCTAGGAGAGAAATGAATGGAGCTGGAGAAAAATTCATCTATATCCAGAATTCCTTAATGACAGAATTAAAAACAATACAGGAAAAAATAACCTAGCCTTACAGCCATCTCTTGTCGATTGTTTAGTTGAGCAAGGACACTGGGATCTGAACACAGTTTGCAGGGGCCAGCACACCGACCCCAGGTAGGAGCCCTCCCCCAGGTTAGCAGGCGGGGGGGCCATTCTCCAGCCTTCCTTCACTGCTGGAGGACACATAACCATTTTAGCTTCTCCTACACTGAGATCAACTTTTTAAAATAAATATAAAAAACAAGACAAATGCTTAGATATTTATAAATTCGCCACAATTTACAAAAGTGTTGTCTGTAATGTATGGGGGTGCTTCCACACAGATCATGGAAAGATAGGATTTAATAGGTAAGTGTATTATGGAGTCAAAAAATTAAATCCATGTATACTTTTTTCCCTAATAAGCATTTTCCATCAACTTTTTGAAGACCACTTGTAGTATCTGTATTATTTACAAAAATCGGGATTTGGCACCTCTAAATTTCTTTTAGCCTGTTTCCTCTCTTCTTCATACCAAATATGACTCAAAACCAGCCTGAAAATAAGGGGTGGGTGTGGAGGCAAGACCTTTGTCACAGTTAAAATGCCAGTTGGGACGCCCACATCCCATATCAGAGTGCTTGGTTTTGAGTCTTGGCTCCACTTCCAATTCTGAGTCCCTGCTAATGCTCGTCCTGGGAGGCAGCATGTGATGGCAGGGGCATCTGCATCCCTGCCACCCATGTGGGAGACCTGGTTTCTGCCTGATCCAGCCCCTGCTGTTATGGGCATTTGGAAAATGAATCTGCTGAAGAGAGATATTCTCTCCTTCTCCACCCCACTCCCCCAATAAAAATAAACAAATGAATGAATATGCTTAATTTTTTTAAATGACAAGAGTAAATATGGAAAAAAAGTACCAATGATAACCTTTGCAATTTCATTGTTAACTGTGAGGAATAAGGAAAAAGAATACATGTATGGTCATGGTGATACGGAGGGGCGGTCGTGTAGAGGTAGCTCTCTGAAGGCTCATAACTTTAAAACAGACATTTAAGTCCCATCATGTCTCTCTCAACATAATTTTAATTTTAGCTAAGATGCTCAGTAATTTATTGACTTTGTTAATGATATATATATATATATATATATATTTTTTTTTGTAATCTAAAGCAAACCTAGATGATGACTGCATTTCTGAGTGGATGGCATCCCAGGAGCCATTGTCACGAGCTTGTGGACAAGCAGCAGTTCAGGGGCCAGGGCCCCGACGCAGCTAGATGCCAGCTAAAGCACCTTGTGACGTTTTAGAGATCAAATGAGACTATGTCGTTCTGTGTTGACCTTTTAATTGTTCTGCGACTGTTGCCAGAAACTTTGAGTCTGAGGCAAAAATAAAAAGGAAGATAAGTGAGTGTGTGGCACTGTAAATGTGTCTCTAAGGTAGGTGTCAGTTTATAAAAATAAGAAGGGAACAGTCATCATCTTAGCTTCTAGTCAACTAGCTGCTTTCTACTGTAAATGCTTTTCTGGCTGGCGCTCCCTTTTTAAAATCATTTCTCTATTTATATCTTTGAAACTATAAATATAATGGAAGTAGAAATATATAATTTCAAAGTTCTAGACAATTTCTTTCTTCCTGTTTCTTTCAGGTCAATTTTCTACTTTTTCTCACTGCTGTCATCTACATGTAAGCAAATGGAAAGAAAAATAGGATTTTTTTAAAATGACATTGTCCAGTAATGAGAATTGTTGAAATTTAGGAAATAATTTCCTAAATTATAATTTTCTGGGCAACTGACACAGCTAAATTCACCAGAGTGTCACTCTCCAGCTCTGACTGCTGACCTGATTTCAGCAAAATACACATCAGTGTCACAGTCAGTTTTTGTGGCCAGATCACCTGACATGTTTGATTTACACAAAATGGGCAGGGACTCTGAAGTTCTAGACAGCATGTGAGTCATAACCAACACATTAGACTGTGTGTTTTATTCAGAATCTCATTTCCATTGCAGGAGGCTTAGCTGAGTTTTGTTGTGTACTTGCTGTTAACTTGCACGTCGTTTGGTCCCCGGACTCAAGGGTTCTCAATACAGAAAATAAGAAATAGCAAAAAGGAACCCCCTCTCAGCAGAAAGGCAAACACCCGCTGCCCTTCTCACCTCATATTAGACATAAAAGGATCATCAGAAACAAACCACACAAGCAAAACACAAAATTCAAGAGAGAGAGATTCCCAGAGCCGTAGATAATTGTAAGCTATTTAAAAAGATCATCAAGGACTCAGAGGTAAGCTGCCACCAAAGTCTGTGTTTTCTGAAGATTAAAAGAGGTCACAGCAATTTCTCGTTGTGCATATAGATAGAGATGAACACAGTTCAGAGTTAAGCCTGAGACGTGCAGCTCAGGGTAAAACAAAATTGAAATTCTCAACATCCTCCAACCCAAATTAAAAGAAAGGCTTTTTCTGAGCGCATCAGGCAGACATACACGGGGTCATCTTAATTATAACAACAGTCAACATCCTTGGAGTGCCAATTAGGTGCCAGGCCCAATTGTCCAGTGAAGTATGATTTTTTGCATTTGGCAGGTGGCAAGACTGCAGCTCAGAGGGATTAAGTAACTATTCAGTGAACTGTAGAGCCGGAATTTGAACCTAGGTCTGACTTCAAAGTCACACTCCTCTACAAATGCTTTCTCTCTTTTTTTTAGAAATGGTTTACTGGGTAAAGCTCAAGACTACCGTCCTCGGCATTGCTTTTGTGGGTTGGCTCCATCCCTATCTTCAGGAGTTGTTTATAATTATTCCAAATAATTTGTTAAACACTGCCCATACTAATTCCCATGGTAATGATGCCATGTGTATATTACTAAATGATTTCAGCGCTATCTCTTTTAGCATTCTAAATTTATTTTCCAGAAGTTTCATGAATTTTCATATCCACTTTAGTCATGCCAGTTATGACCTCACAGACATTAATTCTCAATCTTTATTTCTATAATAAAGTCTCCAATTTGATTTTCACCCAGGCGGCCCTTTAAAAAAAAAAAAACCTTTTGATTAACATATAAAATTTGTACATTTTTCTAAGGTATAGTTCAATATCTCAACACATGAATTTAGCAGTTCAATCCTTTTATTAATAGACTCTTTCTATTGGTTGTTTCTCAAATGAATTTAACCAGAATTCCCCAAAAATAATGTAATTAAACATGCATCCTGGCCGGTGCTGTGGCTCACTAGGCTAATCCTCTGCCTTGCGGCGCCGGCACACCGAGTTCTAGTCCCAGTCGGGGCGCCGGATTCTGTCCTGGTTGCCCCTCTTCCAGGCCAGCTCTCTGCTGTGGCCCGGGAGTGCAGTGGAGGATGGCCCAGGTGCTTGGGCCCTGCACCCGAATGGGAGACCAGGATAAGCACCTGGCCTCTACCATCGGATCAGCGCGGTGCGCCGGCTGTGGCGGCCACTGGAGGGTGTACCAACGGCAAAGGAAGACCTTTCTCTCTGTGTCTCTCTCTCTCTCACTGTCCACTCTGCCTGTAAAAAAGATAAAAAAAAAAAATAAAAAACCATGCATCCTATTTATAAACCAATGGGATAAGTTTCAGTTAGATTTCTCAATAACTTCCTGGTGCTCAGTTACAATGGTTGGATATACTTTGTCCCCTCAGTGTTCTTATATTAGATGTTTGGTCCTCAATGTGACTGAGAAGTGGTTGGACCCTTGAGAAGTGGGGCCTACTAAGAGGTTCTTGGGTCACTGGGTACCCTGCTCTTAGAAGAGATTAAGGTAGTTCCCATGAGACAATGAGTTAGATCTCACAAGAGTGTTCTAAAAGGAGCAAGAACAGTCCCTACCCAGCTCTCTCTAGTTTCCTATTTGAGATATGTCCAATCTTTTTTTTTTTTTCTTTTTCATTTTATTTGAAAGCAGAGAGACAAAGACAGACAGATGGTGAAAGATCTTCCATCCTCTGCTTCACTTTCCAAATGCCTGTAATGGCCAAGGCTGGGCCAGAATGAAACCAAAAACCCAAGACTCAATTCAAGTCTTCTACATGGATAGCAGGAACCCAAGTACTAGAGCAATCACTTGTTGCCTCTGAGGGTATGCATTAGCAGAAAACTAGATCCAGATTAAGAGCCAAGACTCACATTAGAAACTCTGACATGGGGTGTGGGCATACCAAACAGTATCCTAACTGATGTACCAAACATTCATTCCAGGATATATGATTTCCTCCCACCACTGTGATGTCATCTGCTCTTAGGGTTTCACCAAGGGGCAAACCAATGATGCTATCTCATCTCGGACTTTGAACCTTCAGAACTATGAGCTAAATAAACCTTTGTTCTTTATAAATTTAGCCTTCCTCCAGTATTTTGTTATAGTAACAGAAAACAGAGTGATACATCAGTTTTGTTTCATTCTATTTTCCCGGAAGACTTTCCTTATTGAACAATGTTCCAGATCCTTAGTTACTTTTTGTGATAGAATCATATTTACTAGTTTATTATATAATATCCTTCATGGATTACACATTTATATGAGAATACCTGTGATTTCCATCACTGACAAAGAAAGAAAACCCTCACAATACTGTTGAAAGTAGGATTTTTGGCCTACATTCATAAACAAAGGGCCAAATTTAAGTTAGAAGTCAGTAAAACTGAAGGCATAATTTTTCCCCACCCACAGCTAACAGATCCCCTGACAAGGGTTCCGTGGAGTCTGTGTTAAGAACCCTACATGAAACACTGAGGCCAAGGCAATTGAGAAGGACATTAAAAAATCATCTGAACCAAAATGTTTGGCCCAGATGAAGAAATCAAAGCCTAGAGAAGTGACATGACTTTGACTCTCAGGAAGGCTCTCAAACATACTAAGTCCGTAACAGATTCTCTACACACATTCTTTGAGCTGAACTAAAAGACCTGCCAAAGCAACACAGCTAATGAACAACAAAGTTGAGCCTACACCCGTATGCCAAAGTGCCTCAGTAAAGGCTGCTTTGGTCACATTAGGTTGAAGGAATAGTTGCTTTTCTAAAAATGTCAGTGGAGCAATCACTCTCACTATATATTCTTCCTCTAAAGTTCTAGGAAACCATATTCTCAGTCTCTATCACTTCCTCAAAACGACCACTCTCATTTCTAACAGAAATCTCCAACTCCACGTCACATTCAGATCCTTACTTACTGTCTTGGTTTCTATTCCCTTCATCTTCTAGGTATTCAATGACAGGGGAGTGAAACAACACACAAGTTCTGAATCAGCCTCTCCAGGTTTAAGTCTAGCTGTACCATTTACTATTTGTGTGTGAACTTGGGTGGGTTAACATCTCACTATGTCAGCTCTAGCCTTAATAAAATGAGGCGAATAATAATATCAACTTCATACAGTGCTATGAATATAAGAAAAATATTAAATACCAGGTGCTTAGAACATGGTAAACTCACTAAGTATTACTTTTTTCTTATATCTAAAACTTTTTCAAATGTTCTAGTTGTCATTTTTATCCCCATACAGTTCTGTAAACTTCTTGCATTAACCTCTATTGTTGGCTTGCCTCCCAACCCATAATAGTTTTGTGCCATTCACAAACTTGGAGAGTGTGCTGTACATTTTATCCTAAACCAAAAATTATTTAAAGAATTTGGTTAACTGAAAGGCTTGAACATTGTTTCCCTTACATTTCTCCATAGTAAAATTGTCTACTTACAATCCCCTTCATGTCCTGTTTTTAATTTGGCTCTGCAACTGTGACTGATCATACTCCCTTCCCAGTGAGACAATTATTGGAATATCTCACCAAAAGTCGAATTTTAGCAAATACTTTACAAAAAGCTATATATACTCCACCCACAGTTTCCCCATATCCATATGTAAATCTGCCATCTAATGCAAGGTAATTAGTTCGGACTTGTAGTCAATTATTCAGGAAATCTTTCTCTCCATTTTCCTACATGTAAAATGTTCAGCAATCCCAGCTTTATAGTGTGCTAAACAGAGAAAAGTCGGAGACTATAGTTTCCTGGGTCTGTGCTAGATTTCTTCTTGGTTCTGAAGAGAATATTTGGTATAAACTATAACTTGTTTGTGATTACAAATCTGGCCAGGCAACTCCCAATTTTGTCCATAAACTTCTTCAGAGTTCTGGGCTGTCCCTTTTGCTGACTTAAGTCTTCTTGTTACTAGTCAATTTAGAGAGCTCCATTTAAGGCAGATCAAAGAAGTGAATACAATGCCATCTAGAGAAGGAATACAGGGGAAGGTGGAAAAGTTACCTTGGGAAAAACATCATCCAAAGAATTCCTTACTTTTTTTAAAGACTGTTTTTACAGCAATGTTATGTTCACAGCAAAAACTGAGAGGAAAATAAAGAAATTTAGTATATATGCCCTGCCCTCAGGCATACAAACCTCCTCTATTATCAACATCCCTTTCCAGAATGGCACATTTGTTATGACTGATAAACCTACATTGACACATCGTGATCACCCAAAATCCGTAGTTCACACTTGGTGTTGTACATTCAATGGGTCTGGACAATTGTATAATGACATGTATCCACCCTTTTGGAGTCATGTGGAGTAGTTTCACTGACCAAAAAAAATCCTTTGTGCTCCACTCACTCACCTCTGCATCCCCCAAGCCCTGGCTACCATTGATCTTTTCACTATCTTAACAGTTTCATCTTTTCAGAACATCATATAGTTGGAATCATACAGTATACAGCAATGATATTTTTGTCTTTTACCTAGTAATATGCATTTGGGTTTCCTCCATATCTTTTCATAACTTGATAGCTCATTTCTTCCAGTGCTGAACAGTATTTCATTATATTCACCAGAGATCACTTATCCATTCATCCACTGAACGACATCTTGGTTGTCTCCAAGTCTTGGCTATTATCAGTACAGTTTCTATCAACATTTCTGTGTGGCTTTTTATGTGGGAATTACTTAACTCTTCTCAGAGAATGAATCAGAGGTGCTTTTACCAAGTTACCCTCATCACACTCCAGAAATGTTGTCATTTTAGTCATTCACTCAGCTCTTGTAGGGGCTGGGTTCTGTGTGAGGTGCTGAGGATGGCAAGAGGAAAAGTCCCCACCTTCACAGAGCTAAGACAGTGGAGAGGCACAGACACAGGAGATGAAATGATGTGGTTCTAAGACAATGTTAGTACTTTATTGCTGTGAATAATTATCAGAAAAATGCAATCAAGGAAACTAAATACCCCTGGTTAGGGAAAGCCATTGCCTGTCTTTGAATTTGAAAATGTTGGAGGAATGACTGTTCAGTCAACAACAAAAGAGCTTTGTCATAAGCAAGAAATGTTCCACTTTAAAACAAACAGCAACACTGGGTCAAAGGCTAAAATGACAAGTTAAAATGTCAGTGGCTAAACAGCATTAGAATATGCAGGTGTTTTAGTCAGCTTGGGCTGCCATAACAAAATTCCATACATAATCCAGGTTGCTTAAAGGATAGGAATGTTTTTCTCACCATTCTAGAGGCTGGAAGTTCAAGATCAAGATAGCTGCCAATCCAGTTCCCTGCTAGGGGTCCTTTTTTGGCTTGCAGAGGGTCACATCCTTGAATAAGCACATGGTGGGGAAAGAGAAGACTAACTTTTCTTCCTTTTCTTGTACAAGATAAACCTACCATGAGGGTCTCACCCTTATACTTCATCTAACCGCTTCCCAAAGGCCCTGCCTCTGAATACGATCACATTGCCTGCCAGGGCTTCTACATTTGAACTTGAGAGTGATGCAAACATTCTGTCCGTAACAGCAGATGTGAACTTCCTTCCAGAACATCCTTGGAAATGCTCTGTTTTGTGAGTGGACACCTGAGCTTTCACGCTGCAGTCATTCGCCTGGCCCCAATGGGAACGGCACTCTCCTCCCACCTAGAGAACTCTACTCCCAGGAAAGCATACAGTAGCAGTGGTCTGCAGTGTTACTCAGCCTCAACTGCCAATGTACCGTAGTCCCAAGTTTCGGTGCCAAATTCCTTGTTACCTTTGTGCATGCTTCCTGAGGCAGGATAGGAGGGACAGAGGTGCCACACATAATTTCTCTTTAAAAAATAAAACTTGGGGCTAGCATTGTGGAGCAGCAGGTAAAAACCTCCACCTGTGATGCCGGCATCCCACGTGGACACTAGTTTATGTCCCAGCTGCTCCACTTCCCATCTACCTCCCTGCTAATGGCTAGGAAAAGCAGTGGAAGATGGCCCAACTGCTTGGGGCCGTGCCATGTACCCACGTGGGAGACCCAGATGAAGCTCCTGGTTCCAGGCTTCAGTCCAGCCCAGCATTAGCTGTTAACAGCCATCTGGGAAGTGAACCAGTGGATGTAAGATCTCTCTCTCCCTCTCTTTCTGTTTCTCTCTCCTTCTCCCTATGTAACTCTGACTTTAAAAATAAATAAATAAGTCTTAAAACAAAGAAAGAAAAATTTCATCTTAGAAACAGAGACAGACAGACAAAGAGAGCTCCCATGAGCTCATTCATTCCCAAATGCCCTCAACAGCTGGGGTTGGGCCAAACCAAAGCCAGGAGCTGAGAACTCAGTATGACCTTCCCATGTGGGTGATAGAGACCCAGTTACTTAAGCTTTCACCCACTGCCCCCCAGGATCTGCACTGGCAGGAAGCTGGAGTCAGGAGCCAGAGCTGGAAATCAAATCTAGGTACTTTGATGTGGGTCATGAGTGTTTTAATTGCTAGGCCAAATGTCCACCACATAATTTATCTTTTAATATTGCAAATAAGGAACATCACTCCCAAAAATATTCTTTATTACATGATTCAGAAAAGAAAGTATTTAATAGTATACCTCAGTAAACTTTAATACAGTTGGAAAGCAATTTAAAAGCCTATGCATTCTAATGCTGAATAATACTAATCTAGGTCAGACATGTTGCTGTGCTTTTAATACAACAAGGGAAAAAAGTACACCCCACCTACATTGATATTTATGGACTTTGATTCTTAGGTGCCTACAGAGCTATGAGAAATGTTTCAGTGTTTCAGGATCAAGGATAAGTGGCAGAACACTTCATTCTTTGTGAACACTGATGGACGATAAGCTCATGCTCAGAAAGAATGTGCTTTAAAAGAACACTCCTCCTCTCTTTGGGCATTTTTAGAACTATGTAGACGGACTAAAAATAATGCTGAAATTATCAGCCTTGGAGAGTTGGGGGTGGTAGCATATGGATGATGCAGACCAATTATTAATGACATCCAAAAAATGACGTGGTAATACAAATGAAGGACAACATGTCTTCCTGTGTAATGCTTCGGAAACTATTGACGATCCTTATTTTAAAAGGGGTTCTAAAATGAATGCTGCACGTCTATCATAGTCAAATTTTCAGAGGGCTTGAAAGAGACTGAGCCATATAAAACCAAATCAAGATGTGCACAGTTAAGAATGTGCTAGCAAGTGGAATCCAATGGGAAACTGCTGGATCACTGACAACCTCAGATGTCCTGTGGTTGTCACTGCCAGAGGATGAAATGGGGTACATTTGGGAGTACAGGGAAAGGATAACAACAAGTTTGCAGATAGAATAGTGAAGAACAATTGCCAGACTCTTCTAGCAAGTCTGCCCTGAATCCCCTCCTTTCTTGACATTTTATAGCAGAAACAAGCCTACCTTTCCTACTGAGAGTATTTAAGAACTGTGGTGCCCAGTGAACCTGCTGTCAGGTGTGCAGGGGTCTTGAGGAGGTCATGAAGAACCATGAGCCTGCATTTATCCACATTTGTACGCTGAAGGTTTTGTTGGAACTCCGGTGACAGCTAGCACAATACTGAAGTATTTTTGGCTCATTACAAGCTATTTTGGAGCATGATATCAAAACAGGAAAACCAATTTGCACCCACACTAGCTCACTCTAGCTGGTGCCAGAGAAGCCCTGTAAGTTGGTTGAGCCCCACTGCATGGTGGAGAGAGTGCAGCTGGAGGCTGTCAGTGCCCGCCGGGAACACTGGTTCTACAAAGAACAAACCACCTGACCGAACAAACCTTACAGATCTCCTGGAATCACAGTTTTTCTCATCTGGAAATGGAACTGGCTATCACTAAACTTTTCTAGGCTGTTGTAAAGCACTGTGCTTCCGGAGAAAGGCCAGGTGGCTGTGGACAGGGCATCAGAAGGAAGTTCACCTCTCACTGTGTGCTTTTGGAAAACGATGCATCATGTGCATGTTTAACCTAGTAAAATAATAAATAAAGTGTAATTTTCTGAAGTAGTCTTTAAAAGCCACCCTTCATTGTGTGTTTATCTTTATTTTATGGATGATAATGACTTACGGCTTTATTCTGCTCTTCAGACTTCATTCAGTGTAAAAGGCATCCCATTCCATATGAAGATTAAAAGATCATAAGCTCCCATCTGAAAGAAGCAATCCAGCTCAACGATCCCTATGATTTTTCCTAATAGGAAATCCAGAATGTGTTAACATCTGAAATCCTGATGCAGTAGCCCCCACTTATCCATGAGGGACATGTTCCAAGATCCTCAATGGGTGCTTGCAACATCAGATATTACAGATCTCTATAAATACTATGATTGTTCCTATTAATATACACCTATGATAAAGCAAAACTTACAAATTAGGCACAACAGGAGATTAGTAACACTAGAATGATTATAGCAACATACTATAAAAACGTTATGTGAATGTGATCTCTCTTACTGTACTGTATTAATTGTTCTCATGAGGTTATGTGATAATGCAATGTCTGTGTGACAAGATGAAGCGAGGTGAATGACGTAGGCATTGTGACACAGAGGTAGGCTATTAAGGAAGGCCTACTTGACCGTGAAGGCTGTGATATCGCTGCAGTCAGTCTGATAACTGAGATGGCTAGTGAGAGACCAGCTGGCAGGTAGAGTCCAGCGTGATGTGCTGGACAAAGGAGTGATTCAGGTCCCAAGCAGGACCAAGAGGGACGGCAAACGTTTTCATCACACTACTCAGAACAATGTGTAATAGAAAACTTCTGAATTGCTTATTTTGGGGAGTTTTCCATTTAATATTTTTGGGGCACAGTTGACCACAGGTAACTGAAACTATGCAAAGCAAAATCATGGATAGTTTTTATGAAGTACTCCACTATTTTATAATTGACTATCATGGCCTTGAAGGTAATATACTTAATTTATGAACTTTGCCATGCCCCTTCTCCAATCAGCTTTGTTTTCTCTAATCAGCTTTCTGTTTTTCTGACCAGCTGCAGTGAAATTACTGTCATATTCCTCTTTACCTTCCTCATCACCAAACAAAAACCTGGAACAGAAAGAATCAGTATCAGAGGGCAGAGGATTAAAAAAAAAAAAAGCAAAATCTTCTAATTAATTGCTTCTATTTGCCAATCATGTTGTCTTTTAGACTTTAAGTTCTCAGAGATGAAAGCATTTTCATTTTCTTCAGCATCTTACACATCATCAAATCCACCTGTTTAAAATTGTTGTTTGACAATAATGTCATTTTTGCTTTATGTGACTCAGAAACAATATTGTATAGCAACTGATTCCACAGCAAAGCAAAGCTCTCCCTGATACTTCATTAAGTCTCACGCTGTCACCACGTGCACCCCACAGCAGTCCCGTTTAGGATCCGAGCACCTGAGTAGACGTTTCAGCTCCTAGCCTAGCCGTGCTCCCCGCCATGGTGGTCCCCCTCCACCTCAGTTTTCTTTCTTTCACATTTGATAGACTGACGTATGCATGTCCTAATCAATCTATTAACTCTCTAGAAACGTGAGAAGATCCCTTTAGGAAAATAATGAGAAGGATCTCGGGAATCTCTCCCCATGTTTTAGAGAAGACGATGTGTGATGACAATTCCGTGCTTAGGGTGCCCAGGCCTCCACCATGAAAGTCGGTGTGAAGGAGGAGAGCTTTGTGGGGGAAATCTCTTAATTCTAACAAGAAGGGCTGCCTTCAGTTAATTGTGTCAAGGAAGCAGTTAGTGACTCATGTTTAAATGAAACCATTTTTCTTGTCTAGAGCCTGCCAAAAACTTAACCACAACTCATTCATATGATTTTATGACAAGTTAAGATTCCCATAAGTTTGGAAGAGAGATGCACACGTCAAAGTCTCTTGGGAAGGGAAGACCTGTGCTTCAGAGTAACGAATGCCCTCCTAACGTGGAAAAGGATCGATGATGATGTTGGTAAACAGGAACAGTATCACCCTCCCTCCAATTTCCGCTGGAGCGGTTACAGGGGAGTCCCCTGAGCCACAGTGTGCCTGAGGAACGCAGCCACGGTCTCCTCCAGGAGCGATGGCAGGAGGAGAGGGCCATGACAGTGATTCAGGGGACTGACTTCTGCTTTACTGGGTGGTGGTGTTGTTTTAACTCTGGCCCACCATCTCCACAGCCTAGTTCCTATTAGAACTAGGAAGTAAGATGTAAAATCAAGAAAATACTGTTTATAATCTATTTTTATCTCTTTTAAACGTTCCTTTCAGGAAGAAAGATGTATTATCTCCTCTGCTGGACAAGAGACAGGAATGTCTGGAGCTCTCTTGGGTTGGGGGTGTAAATAAGAGGATGAAAGAAAACAGCAGGGCAACCCCTTATGGACAATAAGCCCAGAGTGTAGCTGATGGAACCTTGCGTCCTGTGAAAGGTGCAAAAAGTTGAAGATCTATTCCTCCTCCCCCGTTTTTCCCCATCTCAAGTAACCGGCTGATATCACAATTAATCATCTTTATTCACCAAAGCCTACCAGCCAGGTGTGTGATAGTTCAATACCGCCTGGAACAAAAGTTTCTATTACAATAGGTCATCACTGTACGTACCAGGAATGTGTGTTCTGCATACACAGGGACACACTGATTCTGTCCACAAAAGTACCTTTGTAGATGTGTAGGCTTCAAGGAAGCACCACGAAAACTTCTGTAAAAATAAGCACAGCTTGGGAACAATTTCTCAACATCTCCCAGTACTGCATTATTTCAGTGCCAAGAACTCATAGAGGCAGTGCGGGTTTACCACAAGGGGCAGGAGAAACGGAATACAAGAGCTTGGGTTTGTAATACATTAGCCATTGAATTTATTTTTAAGATTTTCTTATTTGAAAGGCAGAATGACAGAAAGAAAGAAAGGAGAGAGAGAGAGAGAGAGAGAGAGATTTTCCATCTGCTGATTCACTCCTCAAATGGCTGCAACAACCAGATCTGGGACAGGCTGAAACCAAGAGCCAGGAACTTCATCTTGGTATCTTACATGGGTGGCTGGGACCCAAGATCTGAGCTCTTTTCTACTGCCTTCTTGGTTGGTTAGCAGGAAGCTGGACTGGAAGCAGAGTAGCTGGGACTCAAGCAGCACACCAATATGGGATCCAAGCATTGTCGCAAGCAGTGGCTTAATCCTCTATGCCACTGGTCCCAGCCATTGAATCTTAAGTAAATCACTTAAGGATCTGTTTCCTCACTTAGAAAACAAAAAGGTTTTGGCTTCCATGTAGTTCTTAATTTAAACTTCTTATTTTTGTTGATAATTCTGAATAAAATATAAATTCAATTGGCCATCAATTATTGCCAAGAATGGCATCAATGAAATGACAAAAATATTATTGTAATCATCTTTTGTCCCTGTGAAATTAGTGATTATAATGATATGTACAAAATTTAGTATTAGATTTTCTTGGTATCCTACATGTAAAAAACTTTTATCTATAAACATAAATCTAGATAAGATGGAGAGAGAAAGTGAGCAAGAAAGATAGATGGACACTGGGTACTCTGAGAACAGGATTAGTTTACAATTCCTTATGTGCAGTGTGATAATTTCTCTGAAGTCTGAAGCTTACTTGTCATTTTAGAACATTTTTTGCCTTTATCCAAACTCTAGAATCCAATGATGAAAATTGTGGATTTATTTTCACTCCTAACCCCATGATACGTAGCAACTTGGATATATTTGAAGAAATTGTTTAAAGTCATATCCAAGTTTTCAGTTTGTTAATAACAAAGACATAACTCCAAATTTCATCAGCTTCAATATTCCACTGTGTTCCTTGATGAATTACAGTACCTGGATTACAGAAAGGTACAATCTGTGACTACAAAAGAACCTTTCATCATCAACAAAAAAGTATTTATTAAGTTGTAATTATATTACTTGGTGCTTCACTGACTACCTTTAAAGAAAAAAAAGAAAGAGAAAAGAAACATGATCCTTCAGTCTATTATTGAAAACAACGTCCCGATAAGGACATACGGATGGGGAATCAGCGCAGTTGATCAAGAAGGTACAGATTGCCACATAAGGATGAGTAACAAGAAGAGACAGAGCATCCCTTGCATAACTGAGATGGGAACAATCAATAGAACAGTCTAGAAAAGTTGAGATAAGATAAAGCATCTGTGTTCTCATCAACCTGGGAAGACTTCGTGGAACTGGTAGGGCTTATTTTATTTTATTTTATTTTATTTTATTTTATTTTTTGGTAGGAAAATGAAGGTTGGTTGTGGGCTGGGGGCTCAGAAAAGAATCATAAAAAAAAAAAAAGTGGTATGGTAAGTCATGGGGCTTTCGTCTTATGAACTGCTACGGGAGGTCTGCTCACCCTGCAGGACCACTGTCAGCCTTCTGCCTCCAGTCTTTTGGGAAAGGATGCCAGTAGGAGTCAAGAAGTCTACAAGGACGTGGAGACCATGGTCCTGATAAAACAAGACAAACAGGTCCTGATAAAACAGGCAGAGAAAGCAGCAAGGGAAAGCAGTGCATGGGAAAGTGCTGGAGAGGGAGGCATTCCCTCTGGCAGCAGACAAGCGGCTTCACCTGCACCACATGCCATTGCTTTTATCAGGCATTTTGCTACCTGGCAGCTTCGAATTTGGTATCTGAGAACAGTGACCCATAAACCTTTACTGTCTTAACACACTGAGGTTTACCAGAAACTTGGTAAGTTGAAGTGTCTGCGGGATATTATTGTGAAAGGCTTCACATCCCTAAATCATTCCTGCCCAACTGTTCCTCCACAGCTTAAAAATAGCACTGAACTCTCAGAATGATTCAACTGGCTTAAAATAATTCACAAACATCTTCCTAAAAGGAAGAAGGGAAAAGATAAGAGATAGAATGCAAATTAGCTAACAGGTTTTATGAACACAGAGAGGTGAGTAGATTGGAACTAGCAGACAGATCTACTGGAGTGTGGAGGCAGCAATGGAGTTGATCTCATTTGGATCAAGTTATTGCAGCCAGGGACTGCGTGTCAGACTCCGGGAGTGTGCAAGTTAACAAGGCCAAGGAAGGCTGGCCTCTGGGCAAGAATCTAGGTAGATTAAAGAGGCGTTGATCAATGGAGAAAATTGTTCTTATTCTGATAAAGCCATATCAACTCAGAAATAACCACCAATAGCCTTTCTATACCTCTATGGTAACAATGGTTTTTCCCAAGGAAAGATGATTTCCAAGGATGGGCCCCAGACAGGTCGTCTGGGAAAGGTTTGTTGCCGGAGTCTCCTATAAACACTACCAAACAACATTCTTATGTTATTTTAGAGTCATATTCCATAAGCTTGTAAGTTAATTCATTAATTCACCATAAATTTATTTTGTACCCATCACATTTGAGGTACTATGCCAGGCCCTGAGGATATAAAATTGAAAAAATAACATAATTAATTATAATAATAGCTTCTATTATTGGGTGCCTGGTTCATGCCAGGAACTCTACCTCCATTACACAATGGAATGCCCACAACAAACTTCTAAATGAGGCATTATTCTCCCATTTGCCAATGAGAAGCGGAGATGAAGAAATAAAAGCTGTGAGAGGTGAATAAATGTGGCAGATCTCACAAGGAACCAGTGCGGGAGGGAGATAAGTAAACTAGACTTCGCAAGATTCTATGGGAAATGCTAAAAAAAAAAAAATTACCGAAAAAAGGAGGAGTTCCTGACAAAGCTGGGGGAAGGGAGATAGCAGAAGATAGGGGAAAGTAGAGCCGTGTGTGTGTGCGTGTGTGTGTGTGTGTGTGTGTGTGTGTGTGTTGTCCTGGGCAGAGGGAAGGGGCCTAGCACACCAAGAATAAATAGTGCAGGAAGAGATAGGGGTAGGGGTCCTAGGAGCTGTCCATCAGGCACAGCCACAAAGGCTCCCCTTCCTTTCTGCAGGATGAAGAAAGCTGCAGAGAGAAGGCAGCCGGGCCCAGGCGCAGGGTTCTGAGGCTGACCCAGAGGCTCTGACAAGACACTTTTCGTCAGCCGGAAGAAGACTGGGCATTCATCGTGACAGACTAATTGCTCACTTCAGAGTTAGATATTGCTCCATCTCTCTGTGCACCCAATGTGGCTATCAAGTAATGACAGGTTTTTAAACAAACAAACCAAAGCTTGTAGGTCCAAATAACTGCTCCTTCGTGGTCACCTTAAGCTTAAATGCTTATTTCATTATCACTCCCATTGCTCAAAGCACTTCATGTACATCTCTTCTGAAATTGCCTTCCCAGCTTTAAGGGCATTCTTTTAAATATCCGAATGGTGACAATCTTTACCCACTAAACAGTAACATTTTTTGCTTCTCATTTAACTCAAAAATAATTTTAAGCCAAGTCTTTGATAAGTGATTAAATTGGGTAAAAATAATTGAAAACATCAACTAAATGCTAGGCACTAAATTTAGTTTTATTAAAAAAAAACATCTCAATTTAATTCTCACGCAAATCTATGAGGTAGCTATTAATGTCCTACATTCAATTTTTTTAAATAATTATTAAGTTAATACATGTCACTGAAGGAATTTTGGAAAGTAGAAGAGTAAAGAAATCAAACCTTTGGGGTCTCATTGCTACTAAATTAAAATTCAAACCTCATTGCTATTAAACTTACAGTGCTTGTCTTTTGGTCTTTCTTCTATGAGCATCTAATTGTGATTCCCCACCCTTGATATTAATCACTATGTATTTAACTTTATTAGTTTTCATTTAATATTATATTCTGAGCAGTTTTTCATGTCACTAAATTTCTTCCACAAAATCATTATTCATTAATTGGTATTTCTATATGTGGGTATATAAGAATTCTTCAAAATGTACATGGGAAATGGGTATGATGAAAAACTATGCATGGGTTTCAAAAACTTTTGAGCCCAAATGAAGTTTTCGTTCAATTCAATTTGACATGAACTTTTCGAAGTACCCTCCTACCCTAAACTACCCAAACCACTCAAATACTTCAGTGCTGCAAAAGAGTATTTGTCATAGATAAGTCCTTCTGGACTTCTATAATCATGCAGATAATTCCAAGAAGCAGAGTGACTGGATTCAGGACATGTATATTTCTAGAGGATATGATAATTTTCTCATTTTTTAGATGAATAAATGAGAAATTAAAGAAAGACTTTCCAAGGTCATAAACCCAGAATGTAACAGAGGTTGGATTTGACATAAATCTATGGCTCTCTAAATCTGGTGATATTTTTTCCCCATAATGAGAAACGAATTTTGATGGAAAATGATAAATATCAATCAAAAAGTCATTGAAACCAAAACTATTCCTATAATGTTTTTAAGAGGATTTTTAAAATGTTGTGGATTGTTTCTCTAAAGGACCATTTAAAGGATCAAACTCACTCTGTGTTTGTTTCGTATCATTCATTTGTAAAGCACTCACTTAGCTTCATTCTTATTAGAATCTTAGAATCTTAGAAGTCAAGTCAGTAGTTCTGTCCTTTATGACTTTCCCATAGTAGTAATGTTCTGGCCTAAGTACTGGACTTGTGCTGAATACCAAAAAACATAATCTCTCTGGCATTCAGGGAACCTATTTAGGACAAACGTTGTTATAATTCAGGCAAGCCACAGGCAGGTGGGGAGTCCACACCCACGTGTTTAGAATACCAAATGACTAACAGATAACCAGTCTTCTTTAAGTCTGGCTGTGTTCTGATAACAGAGGAAAAAAACATTTCCCACCCAAAGTTCTACTGGTTTGTTATAAACATATAGCCTGTTCTCCTGGAGGGATGGGTGGAATGCGAAACACCAGTACAACCAGCTCTCTTCCTGCTTCCCTGGGCACTGGAATGTAGTCCACAGTGCATCGTGCATCGGAGAAAACCAGGCTGGTGCAGGACAGCACTGGAAGAGGTGGCTGGGGATGTTGTGCTAAAATCGTGTTTGTGTAGTGGAGTCTACAAATATTTCCGAGTTGTCCTTAATCCTTTGGCCCCAGACACTCGTCCCTCTTGGGGTGGGGGAGGGGTGGGGGGCAGGAGTGGATTGTAAAAGATAAGGCCCAGGAGGAAGCTGAGTGAGGAATCCTGACTCAGAGGCTTTCCAAGCTTTGGGAAACACATGCTTTACTTCTTTTTGGAGCTCTACTGGCTTTCTTAATGCCCTGATACTGATTAACTGACCAACAAACAGCCCTGCTTTCTCTGCCTGATCACTAAGCTCAACCAGGGCGTCTCATCAACATCTCAAATACAACTTAACCAACGGAACACTGGGTCCTTGCCCAGCCCATCACCACCCGCTTTTCACAACTTCCTACGCCGCTTGTGTCATCTCTGAGCCATCTCTGAGCTTCTCCTTTTTCCCTTAAGCCAGCATCCTTCAGAACCCATTTCCCTTCAGAACCCATTCCCCTGCCATCCGTCTCCTCTACCCTGGTGCAAGCCTCAACAGACTCTTGTCTAGAACCCTTGATTCCAGTCCTGTCCTTCACAACGCTTCCTCCACACGGTGATCAGAATGATTTTTCGAAACATAAATCAGGCCCGCGACCTACTTCAAACTTTCTGATGGCTTTTGATTAAAGAACTTCAGACTCCCACCATGGTTATAGAGCTGAGTCTTTGCCCCTCTGGACTGAATGCCCCCTGCCGGTTCCCCATTGCTTAGGTCTAGCTCCATTTCCAGCGCCGGAAGCATGCATGACCCCTCTCCCCGACACACACACATAAGGCCCTCAAGGACCTGTTTATTTTTCCCTTTCAGAGAGCAACTCCAACATTACTTCCTCAGAGGATTTCCCTGACACACACACCCATCTTCATGCCACTCATCACTACTAGGAATCACCTTCTGTTTGTCCACTAATTGTTTATTGTTTTGTCTCCTCACTAAAATATAGGCTCCTAAAAGAAGGACATGTCCAACTTACACGATATTCCACGTCAAAATGTAAACCAGCACACAGCACGGAGCAGGCATTAAATAAAATTATGCCAAATAAAAGAATCAAAGAGTGACTGGGGGATGAGTAGGTGGGGCCCACTCCTCTAATACTATCTTTAATTCCTAGAGAAAACAAGTGTCTGATTCTTTTAGATTCAAGCACAAACATTTTATTGAGTTGGGTTAAGGCACTATATAACTTATTCTGAGTTGTAAATAGACACTTTTAACAGTCACATCAATTCTATTAGTACACTATTGTATGGACGGCCTGAAAGAACTGACAGAGTTTCCATAGAACTTTCTTTATGAGTAGCAAGTTGTTGACAATAAAGAAATTTAGCAAACTGTATTTACACAATTAACTCTTGTTGTCTTCTTAGAGTTTAAATCTAATTATTCTTCCCTCTGGATCTGAAAAGTAGGTTCTTAAAGGAATCTGGCCATAGTCTTACATCCAAATGTATAAATAACTGATGAAATTGAAATTATTTGTCAGGGCTGGCACTGTGGCGCAGCAGGTTAAAGCCCTGGCCTGCATCCCATATGGACACTGGTTCAAGTCCTTGCTGTTCTTCCAATCCATCTCTCTGCTATGGCCTGGAAAAGCAGCAGAAGATGGCCCAAGTCCTTGGGCCCCTGCACCCGGGTGGAAGACCCGGAAAAAGCTCCTGGCTCCTGACTTCGGATCAGCGCAGCTCCAACCGTTGGGGCCACCTGGGGAGTGAACCAGCGGATGGAAGACCTCTCTCTCTGTCTCTACCTCTCTCAGTAACTCTTTCAAATAAATAAAATAAATCTTCTAAAAAAGAAATTACTTGTCTTGTCTAGATATACTTTTGCAACAAAACAAACACACTCACATACAAGTGCATATACATAAGAACATGCTAAGTGTTAACGAGTTTGTTGTATAAATGAGACTTTCTGCAGTATAAAACACAGGAGTGACTAAAGAGGTCAAAGTATGGGAAACTCCCCATCTTTAAAATGTTTATGAACACAATGCTGTCCCCAGATCACCTCTTGTCTAAGAGCTTCGCAGTGAGGCCTTGTGAGGAATGTGAAGCAAAATAAAGCCCCAGCTCCTGGGTGGCGCACTGAAACAGCACTGCTGTCCAGTGATCTGATGTCATGTTCCCAGGGACACATTCTTGTGGCTAGAACGGAGCTTCTGGGTCCCGTGCTCTGGATGAAAAAGGATTGCTCATACGTGTTTTCACAATGAGCATTTGGGTTAGGCTATACAGTTTATCAAAACTGTGAAAAGCCAATAGAAGCAATTCAATATTCCAGCAAAGATCTAGATGGCATGCTTACTTTTTCATAGAAAAATTGCAAGGGAACACACTTTAAACCACACTCTTGATTCTATGCTTATTTTTTATTTCAGACTCTACTTCAACAACCCTTTCCTCCATATATAACACAGTCCCTTCTCTTTCCTCCCTCATCCTCAGTAAAGCTGTGTCCATGTCAAATGACAGGAAAACCAGCGTATTGAGAGTCAGGGAACAGGCAGGTTTTGTGCAGGAAAAACCTGTGGTGGCTCAGATGTTCACTGAGTAACTCCCAGAGGGTGAACGTTTATTTCTGCTAAGTCTCTAATAAAAACGTTAGGGACCAGAGGGCTCGTCTTTCTCCGATTTACCTCCTCTTTCCCAGGTCGTGTTGTGTTTTTTAAAGCCTGATTTCCCTGGCACTGTCTGTAGCAGATGTTGCTTTACTGTTTGCTAACATTATGCTAACATTACACTCACAGAACAGTCAGAGGAGCCTGACTTCTGTCAACACAGTCTAGTTACAGCACAAGCTGGAGATTTGTCCCAGCTCTGGTCAATGACTCCCTTTAGGCAAGTTGCTTAACTTCATCAGTTCCCACCCGTCCAAGCTGGGATCCACAAGAATACGTATCTGAGGTCTTGGGAGTAAAAGCTTCATTCATTTGATTCTTAAACTTGACTCCTGCAGGGGACCAGTCTCCTGATTTTTCACACAAAAGAAAGACCCATAATTTAAAGATGATCTTCCTTTGTTTAGTTGGTTAACCACTGCTAGATCCTTACTTTTTTTTTCTTTTTAAGATTTATTTATTTATTTGAAAGGCTGAGCTAGAGAGAGGCAAAGGCAGAGAGAGAGAGAGAGAAGTCTTTCATCTGTTGGTTCACTCCCCAGATGACCACCAGAGTTGGGCCAATTTGAAGCCAGGCGCCAGGAGCTTCCTCTGGGTCTCCCAAGTGGGTACAGGGGCCTAAGAACTTGGGCCATCTTCTACTGCTTTCGTAGGCCACAGCAGAGAGCTGGATCTGAAGTGGAGCAGCTGGGACCTGAACTGGTGCCCATATGGGATGCCAGCACTACATGCAGAGGCTTTACTTGCGATGCCACAGTGCCGGCCCCAAGACTCTCACTTTTTAAATATCTCTTTATTGAGATTTATTTACACAAATCTCTCTTTAAAAAAAAAAGATTTATTTATTTGAAAGGTAGCTTACAGAGAGAGAGGCAGCGACAGAGAGAGAGAGAGATCTTCCATCAACTGTTACTCCCCAAATGGCCACAACAGCCAGGGCTGAGCCAGGCTGAAGCCAGGAGCCAAGAGCTTCATCCAGGTCTTCCACTTGGGTGCAGGGATCCAAGCTCTCGGACCATCTTCCACTGCTTTCCCAGGCACATTAGCAGAGAGCTGGATCAGAAGTTGAGCAGCTGGGACTTGAACCAGTAGCCATATGGGATGCCAGCTCTGCAGGTAGCAGCTTA